CGAGTTTTCTGAGGTAAAAGAAAAGGTCATGGTGTAAAAACAGCCGGGGTAACATACAGAGATAAACCCCCCCCCCGCACACACCCGCGCGGGACCCCCCCCACGCGCAGAGCCCACCGCGCGACCCCCGGCGAGCGCAGGAGCCCCCCGCGCACCGCCCCGCGCGCAGGACCCCCGCGCAACCCACTAGCCATTATCCCCCCCTCTCAACCCCCCCCCTCACTACCCCATCTAGCTCATACCCCTCCCTCTCACCTCCCCTCTCTCATACCCCCCCCTCTCTACCCCCTCTCTCTCATTACCTCCCCTCTCTCATACCCCCCGCCTCTATCCCCCCTCTCAATCCCCTCTCTCTCATTACCCCCCCTCTCAACCCCCTCTCTCTAATATCCCCCCCCTGTCTCAGACCCACCCCCCTCTCTACCCCCTCTCTCTCATTACCCCCCCCCTCTCACCTCCCCTCTCTCATTACCCCCCCTCTCAACCCCCTCTCTCTCATTACCCCCCCCCTCTCTCATTACCCCCCCCTCTCTACCCCCCCCCCCCCCCCCCAGACGGAGGCCATGCTGCAGGCGGCCGAGGCTCTCGCTGGGCCGTATGTTTGGGGTCCGTACGACATCCTAGTTCTGCCTCCATCGTTCCCCTACGGAGGAATGGAGAACCCCTGCCTCACTTTCGCCACCCCCACCCTGCTGGTATACACACTATATATACACACTATATATACACACTATATATACACACTATATATACAGTGGGGCAAAAAAGTATTTAGTCAGCCACCAATTGTGCAAGTTCTCCCACTTAAAAAGATGAGAGAGGCCTGTAATGTTCATCCGAGGTACACTTCAACTATGAGAGACAGGATGGGGGGAAAGAATCCAGGAAATCACATTGTAGGATTTTTAAAGAATTTATTGGCAAATTATGGTGGAAAATAAGTATTTGGTCAATAACAAAAGTTCATCTCAATACTTTGTTATATACCCTTTGTTGGCAATGACAGAGGTCAAAGGTTTCCTGTAAGTCTTCACAAGGTGTTCACACACTGTTGCTGGTATGTTGGCCCATTCCTCCATGCAGATCTCCTCTAGAGCAGTGATGTTTTGGGGCTGTCGCTGGGCAACACGGACTTTCAACTCCCTCCAAAGATTTTCTATGGGGTTGAGATCTGAAGACTGGCTAGGCCACTCCAGGACCTTGAAATGCTTCTTACGAAGCCACTCCTTCGTTGCCCGGGCGGTGTGTTTGGGATCATTGTCATGCTGAAAGACCCAGCCACGTTTCATCTTCAATGCCCTTGCTGATGGAAGGAGGTTGTCACTCAAAATCTCACGATACATGGCCCCATTCATTCTTTCCTTTACACGGATCAGTGGTCCTGGTCCCTTTGCAGAAACACAGCCCCAAAGCATGATGTTTCCACCCCCATGTTTCACAGTAGGTGTTCTTTGGATGCAACTCAGCATTCTTTCTCCTCCAAACACGTCTAGTTGAGTTTTTACCAAAAAGTTCTATTTTGGTTTCATCTGACCATATGACATTCTCCCAATCCTCTTCTGGATCATCTAAATGCTCTCTAGCAAACTTCAGACGGGCCTGGACATGTACTGGCTTAAGCAGGGGGACACGTCTGGCACTGCAGGATTTGAGTCCCTGGCGGCGTAGTGTGTTACTGATGGTAGCCTTTGTTACTTTGGTCCCAGCTCTCTGCAGGTCATTGACTCGGTCCCCCCGTGTGGTTCTGGGATTTTTGCTCACCGTTCTTGTGATCATTTTGACCCCACGGGGTAAGATCTTGCATGGAGCTCCAGATCGAGGGAGATTATCAGTGGTCTTGTATGTCTTCCATTTTCTAATAATTGCTCCCACAGTTGATTTATTCACACCAAGCTGCTTACCTATTGCAGATTCAGTCTTCCCAGCCTAAACAACAATAAGCGCTGCTTGGCAACCGTGTGTGGCGGCAAAGTACATAGACATTTTGACAGGAGAGATTTAGTTTTGCCGGTATTCAACATATTTTACCAGTCATAGTCCGGTATTTATTTACACTCTAAGAAGAGTCCTACACAACAGACATGGCGTCAAAAAGGAGTGTGGAAATATTTCGACCAGGTTAGTGAGTGCGGTGCAGAGTGCAAACTATGCCAAATTAAACTTATATACATACTATACCTTGCTCTACCCGCAACCTCCGTTCCAGCTGAGAGGGTCTTCTCTATAGCTGGCCTGATTGTGAATCGCCTCTGCACATGAAAGCTGTAGGCCTATAGCTGTCAAACTGTGATCACCAGTTCAATACATTTGACTAATTTGACTTGGTTTCTAAACTTATTTGAACATGTATTTATTTTTTTTCCAAAAGTTATTGAAATTGTTTTTTGGAAAACATTTTTTTTTGGAAAACATTTTTTTATAGGATATGTACATTTCGGTTAACCGTTTTTTGGGGGTTCGAATTTCGAATATACATTTGCTTTCAAATTCCCATCCCTAATATATATATATATATCAGGGTTTCCGTTAGAATTTTCAACATGTCCGTTAAAGTTTAAATCTTCCAGGCAAAATGAGAAAAGTGCCGGTCAAAGGTCTTCTTTTTATTTATTGAGCTTTAAAACTAATTGATATGATTCGATATTAAACTAATTATAGCAGATTAACTACATTATTCAAAAGTGAACAGTAATTACAATAACACGGGAATAATAAACGGAGCGCTCTCTCCCTCTCCTGACAGCCGTATCATGCAGCTCGCGGATCAGCAATGAGTGACCCGACAGTAAAACTAAACATATCTATAACTAGTTACGGTAGTTTGAGAGGTCATTAAAATAGCTACGTGTGATATTCTAACCTGAAGTGTGTGTTTTGTCCGCTCACCGCTGCATGTGATCATGCTGAGCTGCGTGTCGACCTGTCAGCAGCAGCTGATCTCTCTCTCCCGTCAGATTAGACTTTACTCGCGTTTATGTCCATATCGATCAGATCCAGCTAGTTCTAGCTAATGATATGACTACCTGCTTATTAAAAGACACCTACACAATAAGTGGCGCAAGTTGTGCAACTGATGTGGTATTGCGCTAAGCGGAAATGATTTTGACCGGAGAGATTTAGATTTGCCGGTCTTCAGCATATTTTACCGGTCATAGTCCGGTAATTACCGGCTAACGGGAACTCTGATATATATATATACATGTGTATATATATATATGTATATATATTAGGGCTGTCAAACGATTACAATTTTTAATCAGATTAATCACACCTTAAAAATTAATTAATCAGATTAATCTCCATTCGAACTATGTCCAAAATATGCCATTTCTTGATGTACATTGTTGGGAATGGAAAGATAAATGAAAGAAGGCGGATATTTCCATTTCACATACAGTATGTTTATTATAACATTGTTCTGTGTGTCAAAATGAAAGACAGCCCACACACCTATCAATCATCAAACCGTGGGGTCTTAATTCATTACGTGTTGATTTCTGTCAACGGGGGAGTCGATGGGGGGGGGCTAGTGGAGTACTTCAGGAAAGTCGACGGGGGGGGGGGGGGGGGGGGCTAGTGGAGTACTTCAGGAAAGTCGACGGGGGGGGGGGCTAGTGGAGTACTTCAGGAAAGTTGACGGGGGGGCTAGTGGAGTACTTCAGGAAAGTCGATGGGGTGGGGGGGCTAGTGGAGTACTTCAGGAAAGTCGACGGGGGGGGGGCTAGTGGAGTACTTCAGGAAAGTCGACGGGGGGGGCTGGGGGGGGGCTAGTGGAGTACTTCAGGAAAGTCGACGGGGGGGGCTAGTGGAGTACTTCAGGAAAGTCGACGGGGGGGGGGCTAGTGGAGTACTTCAGGAAAGTTGACGGGGGGGCTAGGGGGGGGGCTAGTGGAGTACTTCAGGAAAGTCGATGGGGGGAGGCTAGTGGAGTACTTCAGGAAAGTCGACGGGGGGGGCTAGTGGAAAGTCGACGGGGGGGGGCTAGTGGAGTACTTCAGGAAAGTCGACGGGGGGGGCTAGTGGAGTACTTCAGGAAAGTCGACGGGGGGGCTAGTGGAGTACTTCAGGAAAGTCGACGGGGGGGGCTAGTGGAGTACTTCAGGAAAGTCGACGGGGGGGCTAGTGGAGTACTTCAGGAAAGTCGACGGGGGGGGCTAGTGGAGTACTTCAGGAAAGTCGACGGGGGGGGGCTAGTGGAGTACTTCAGGAAAGTCGACGGGGGGGGGGCTAGTGAAGTACTTCAGGATAGTCGACGGGGGGGGGGGGGGCTAGTGGAGTACTTCAGGAAAGTCGACGGGGGGAGCTAGTGGAGTACTTCAGGAAAGTCGACGGGGGGGGCTAGTGGAGTACTTCAGGAAAGTCGACGGGGGGGGCTAGTGGAGTACTTCAGGAAAGTCGACGGAGGAGGGTTGGTGGAGTACTTCGTGACCACAGAGTGTGAACGTTGTGATCAGCTGTTTTAGCGCAGTTCTCCAGTGAAGGGGGGGAGTCTCCCTCCGCAGCCGGTTGGCGTAGTTTTGGCACAGTTCCGTTGTACAGACCGACGTTAACAGCAGCCCTGTCTGTGCACACGGAGACCGACTCTGTCGTCCGGTGATCTAACCGCCTTCTGGAAAAGCTTCACAAGTACGTCGGTACGCAAATGCGCTTTGTGACACAAGTGCTGGTACGCATTTCAGATTACGCACATAACCTGCGTACCAGTTATGTGTTACCTGTACTACAGCAAAAGTATTCTCCGTCGGGACTTCCTGCAACAACACCACGCCGTTATCTTGATTCTGATTGGCCAGAAGACATTATCAAAGATGTTCTATTGAGAAGACGATCACTACGTGACAAAAGTTTTCAAAACCGTTTCTGGTCTTCGGTATTTCCAGACAAGTGGCTACTGAAATCAATCTGACTAACTGCTGTCTGTGCAATTTACTCCGCGCGAGTTGGCGGACTTTATTGTGCTTACTTTAACATCATTTCTCATGGTGGGGCTAAGCCATTTCTTGGTATGGGTGTAGCCTACCTCAGCCATACCCTGGCGCTGCCACTGGTGGCACGTATGGGGCGGGCCATTCTGCACATGCGTTAAATGCGTTAAATATTTTTAACGCAATTAATTCAAAAAATTAATTACCGCCGTTAACGCGATAATTTTGACAGCATTAATATATATACATGTGTGTATATATATATATATATATATATACATGTATATATACACCCCACAGGTGTATGTTTTATTACCATGTGACTGATCTGCTGATCTCTCTCTACAGGCGGGAGACAAGTCTCTGTCCAACGTGAGTATACAACACAATCATACATGTTCATACTTGTCCACACAGTCATACATGTTCACACAGTCATACATGTCCACACAGTCATACATGTCCACACAGTCATACATGTCCACACAGTCACACATGTCCACACAGTCATACATGTCCATACATGTTCATACATGTTCATACATGTCCACACAGTCACACATGTTCATGTGTTCATGTCCCTCCAGGTGATTGCTCATGAGATCTCCCACAGCTGGACAGGGAACCTGGTGACCAACAAGACCTGGGAACACTTCTGGTGAACATGATGAACACATGACTTCATTTATAAAAACCAAACAATGAACACATGAATTATATATTTAAAGCTGGGATGTGCACAGTAATATAAATATATATTCATAGTTATTTAGAGTAATGTATTTACAGTAGTATTTACATACATACCTATGCACCTGTACTGATGGATGCACCTGTTGGTTGCAGGCTGAACGAGGGCCACACGGTCTACCTGGAGAGGATGATAGGTCGGTCGATGGAGGGAGAACCCTTCAGACAGTTCAAAGCTGCTGGAGGCTGGAAGGAGCTGCAGGACTCGGTCAGTCACCTGACACACCTGTACACACCTGTACACACCTGACACACCTGTACACACCTGTACACACCTGACACACCTGTACACACCTGACACACCTGTATACACCTGTATACACCTGACACACCTGTATACACCTCTACATATCTGTATACACCTGACACACCTGTACACACCTGTATACACCTGTATACACCTTACACACCTGTACACACCTGTACACACCTGTATACACCTTACACACCTGACACACCTGTACACACCTGACACACCTGTATACACCTTACACACCTGACACACCTGTACACACCTGACACACCTGTACACACCTGTACACACCTGACACACCTGTATACACCTGACACACCTGTACACACCTGTATACACCTGTATACACCTTACACACCTGACACACCTGTACACACCTGACACACCTGTACACACCTGTACACACCTGTATACACCTGTATACACCTGACACACCTGACACACCTGTACACACCTGTACACACCTGACACACCTGTATACACCTTACACACCTGTACACACCTGACACACCTGTACACACCTGTACACACCTGACACACCTGTACACACCTGACACACCTGTACACACCTGACACACCTGTACACACCTGTACACACCTGACACACCTGTATACACCTGTATACACCTTACACACCTGACACACCTGTACACACCTGTACACACCTGACACACCTGTACACACCTGACACACCTGTACACCCCTGTACACACCTGACACCCCTAACACAATTGTACACACCTGTACCTTTCTGTATAACTGTCTATACATGTCTGTCTCTCACCTGTCTCACCTGTCTGTCTCTCAGGTGAACACCTTTGGAGCTAACAACCCCCTCACTAACCTGGTCCCCAGTCTTCAGGACGTGGACCCGGACGACGCCTTCTCCTCCGTCCCGTACGAGAAGGGCTTCGCTCTGCTGTATCACCTGGAGGAGCTGCTGGGGGGCCCAGGTAACAGCTGAACCCACCACGATCACCTGAACGCACCACGATCACCTGAACGCACCACAATCACCTGAACGCACCACAATCACCTGAACGCACCACAGAGCACCTGAACACACCACAGAGAACACCTGAACACACCACAGAGAACACCTGAACACACCACAGAACACCTGAACACAACACAGAACACCTGAACACATCACAGAACACCTGAACACACCACCGATCACCTGAACACACCACAGAACACCTGAACACACCACAGAACACCTGAACACACCACAGAACACCTGAACACACCACAGAACACCTGAACACACCACAGAACACCTGAACACATCACAGAACAGCTGAATACATCACAGAACACCTGAACACATCACAGAACACCTGAACACACCACCGATCACCTGAACACACCACAGAACACCTGAACACACCACAGAGAACACCTGAACACACCACAGAACACCTGAACACATCACAGAACACCTGAATACATCACAGAACACCTGAACACATCACAGAACACCTGAACACACCACCGATCACCTGAACACACCACAGAACACCTGAACACACCACAGAACACCTGAACACACCACAGAACACCTGAACACATCACAGAACACCTGAACACACCACCGATCACCTGAACACACCACAGAACACCTGAACACACCACAGAACACCTGAACACACCACAGAACACCTGAACACATCACAGAACACCTGAACACACCACAGAACACCTGAACACACCACAGAACACCTGAACACACCACAGAACACCTGAACACACCACAGAACACCTGAACACACCACCGATCACCTGAACACACCACAGAACACCTGAACACACCACAGAACACCTGAACACACCACAGAACACCTGAATAGATAACAGAGAGTGAGACACCTGAACGCACCACGGTCTGTTTGTTCCTTTCTCCAGAGGTGTTCATGGGCTTCGTGAAGTCGTACATCCAGATGTTTGCGTACGGCAGCGCCACCACCGACGAGTGGAAGAACTACCTGTTCACCTACTTCAAGGACAAGGTGAGACTCACCTGGACCAAGTCACAACTTCATTCTGTAAAATAAATCTGAAATATTAGTTACCACGTCATTCTGTAAGTTAGGACTTTACTCTTAGAGATAAAACCGTATCCTCAGACCTGTATCAGGTCCAGCAGGTGAATCTCACCGGGGTTTTTCTCTGGTCTCAGGTGGACGTCCTGAACCAGGTGGACTGGGACGCCTGGATGTTCACCCCGGGGATGCCTCCAGTCAAACCTCAGTGAGTGCTCCTCCGTCTGCGTCTTTATATCTCTTTAAATATTGAAAGCCCTTTAACCCTCACCTGTCTCAGGTACGACACCACGCTGGCCGACGCCTGCATCGCCCTGAGCCAGAGGTGGATCAAGGTGAGACCTGTTTTTATTATTAGTATTATTATTATTAGTATTTATTGTTTACTATTGTTCTTAATATCCTGTCCAGGCCACAGAGCAGGACCTGAGCAGCTTCAAGGTGTCGGACATGAAGCCGCTGTCGTCTCATCAGGTCATCGAGTTCCTGTCTCTGCTGCTTCAGGAGGTAACACACCTGAGCTTCAGTATTATGACGTCATACCATTAAATACCTCCCAGCATGCTTTGCATTGACTTCCTGTCTGTCCCTGAAGGCGGCGCTGCCTCTGACTCACGTGAAGAAGATGCAGGAAGTTTACGATCTGAACGCGAGCAAGAACGCTGAGATCCGCTTCAGGTGAGAGTCGCCGTCTGCTGCTGACAACACCACGGCACGAATATCACTTTATACGCAAAGTAGTTCGTCTTCGTCCTCAAAGTTAAGATGTTTATCTCAGTCACCATGTTTTCTCAGAGTTGCAATGTTTTGTCCAATCAGGTGGCTGCGTCTCTGCGTGCGCTCGCGGTGGGAGGAGGCTGTTCCCATGGCGATGAAGATGGCAACGGATCAGGGCCGGATGAAGTTCACCCGCCCGCTCTTCAGGTATTTAAACAAACCGTTTCTACTCTTTATTTAAACGTTGAACGTGCTTCTCTGAGCCTCGGTGTTTTCCCTCATTCCGCAGAGAGGTCTTTACCTTCGACAAGTATCGTGACGAGGCGGTCCGGATGTTCCAGTCTCACCGCGGCGCGATGCACCCCGTCACCGCCGGACTCGTGGCCAAAGACCTGAAGATCCAAGCCAGCAGCAGCAGCTTGTAAAGCGAGCAGATATTTCAATACTTCAAGTCGGTTTCCTGCAGAAATGTCTTTAAATGCTTTCATCAGAAATGTTGATGCTTTTTTCTTTTATATCATAAATTCTTTAGGGGTGTCGGGATAAATATCGGTAGCTCCGATAACGAAGTGAAATATAGACTTAAAGTCACACGTTTATCTTCCAAATAATAAAGAGAGTATTGCAGGAATCAGGACGCTTCAGATTTCAGAGCTTCTTCAGAAACCCAACGTTAAGCAAGAAGACGTTAAGAAAGAAGACGTTAAGAAAGAAGACGTTAAGCAAGAAGACGTTAAGAAAGAAGACGTTAAGAAAGAAGACGTTAAGAAAGAAGACGTTAAGAAAGAAGATGTTAAGCAACTGCGGTTATTGCAGATGGTTTTACCGACACTCCTGATGTTTCCTGTTTAAAAACACAAGAAGAAATAAAAATGTCTTCAGTGAATCGTCTCTCTCTCTTTGTAATCTGTTTAAAATATTAACAAGGACTTTAAAGAGTCCTCTCCTGCTGATGTTCGGGTGTATATCAGTGTGTAGTGTCTCTACTTTAAAGAGTCCTCTCCTGCTGATGTTCAGGTGTATATCAGTATGTAGTGTCTCTACTTTAAAGAGTCCTCTCCTGCTGATGTTCAGGTGTATATCAGTATGTAGTGTCTCTACTTTAAAGAGTCCTCTCCTGCTGATGTTCGGGTGTATATCAGTATGTAGTGTCTCTACTTTAAAGAGTCCTCTCCTGCTGATGTTCGGGTGTATATCAGTATGTAGTGTCTCTACTTTAAAGAGTCCTCTCCTGCTGATGTTCGGGTGTATATCAGTATGTAGTGTCTCTACTTTAAAGAGTCCTCTCCTGCTGATGTTCAGGTGTATATCAGTATGTAGTGTCTCTACTTTAAAGAGTCCTCTCCTGCTGATGTTCAGGTGTATATCAGTATGTAGTGTCTCTACTTTAAAGAGTCCTCTCCTGCTGATGTTCGGGTGTATATCAGTATGTAGTGTCTCTACTTTAAAGAGTCCTCTCCTGCTGATGTTCGGGTGTATATCAGTATGTAGTGTCTCTACTTTAAAGAGTCCTCTCCTGCTGACGTTCGGGTGTATGTCAGTATGTAGTGTCTCTACTTTAAAGAGTCCTCTCCTGCTGACGTTCGGGTGTATGTCAGTATGTAGTGTCTCTACTTTAAAGAGTCCTCTCCTGCTGACGTTCGGGTGTATGTCAGTATGTAGTGTCTCTACTTTAAAGAGTCCTCTCCTGCTGACGTTCGGGTGTATGTCAGTATGTAGTGTCTCTACTTTAAAGAGTCCTCTCCTGCTGACGTTCGGGTGTATGTCAGTATGTAGTGTCTCTACTTTAAAGAGTCCTCTCCTGCTGACGTTCGGGTGTATATCAGTATGTAGTGTCTCTACTTTAAAAGAGTCCTCTCCTGCTGACGTTCGGGTGTATATCAGTATGTAGTGTCTCTACTTTAAAGAGTCCTCTCCTGCTGACGTTCGGGTGTATATCAGTATGTAGTGTCTCTACTTTAAAGAGTCCTCTCCTGCTGACGTTCGGGTGTATGTCAGTATGTAGTGTCTCTACTTTAAAGAGTCCTCTCCTGCTGACGTTCGGGTGTATGTCAGTATGTAGTGTCTCTACTTTAAAGAGTCCTCTCCTGCTGACGTTCGGGTGTATGTCAGTATGTAGTGTCTCTACTTTAAAGAGTCCTCTCCTGCTGACGTTCGGGTGTATGTCAGTATGTAGTGTCTCTACTTTAAAGAGTCCTCTCCTGCTGACGTTCGGGTGTATGTCAGTATGTAGTGTCTCTACTTTAAAGAGTCCTCTCCTGCTGACGTTCGGGTGTATGTCAGTATGTAGTGTCTCTACTTTAAAGAGTCCTCTCCTGCTGACGTTCGGGTGTATGTCAGTATGTAGTGTCTCTACTTTAAAGAGTCCTCTCCTGCTGACGTTCGGGTGTATGTCAGTATGTAGTGTCTCTACTTTAAAGAGTCCTCTCCTGCTGACGTTCGGGTGTATGTCAGTATGTAGTGTCTCTACTTTAAAGAGTCCTCTCCTGCTGACGTTCGGGTGTATGTCAGTATGTAGTGTCTCTACTTTAAAGAGTCCTCTCCTGCTGACGTTCGGGGTGTATGTCAGTATGTAGTGTCTCTACTTTAAAGAGTCCTCTCCTGCTGACGTTCGGGTGTATGTCAGTATGTAGTGTCTCTACTTTAAAGAGTCCTCTCCTGCTGACGTTCGGGTGTATGTCAGTATGTAGTGTCTCTACTTTAAAGAGTCCTTTCCTGCTGACGTTCGGGTGTATGTCAGTATGTAGTGTCTCTACTTTAAAGAGTCCTCTCCTGCTGACGTTCGGGTGTATGTCAGTATGTAGTGTCTCTACTTTAAAGAGTCCTCTCCTGCTGACGTTCGGGTGTATGTCAGTATGTAGTGTCTCTACTTTAAAGAGTCCTCTCCTGCTGACGTTCGGGTGTATGTCAGTATGTAGTGTCTCTACTTTAAAGAGTCCTCTCCTGCTGACGTTCGGGTGTATATCAGTATGTAGTGTCTCTACTTTAAAGAGTCCTCTCCTGCTGATGTTCGGGCGTATATCAGTATGTAGTGTCTCTACTTTAAAGAGTCCTCTCCTGCTGACGTTCGGGTGTATGTCAGTATGTAGTGTCTCTACTTTAAAAGAGTCCTCTCCTGCTGACGTTCGGGTGTATGTCAGTATGTAGTGTCTCTACTTTAAAGAGTCCTCTCCTGCTGACGTTCGGGTGTATGTCAGTATGTAGTGTCTCTACTTTAAAGAGTCCTCTCCTGCTGACGTTCGGGTGTATGTCAGTATGTAGTGTCTCTACTTTAAAGAGTCCTCTCCTGCTGACGTTCGGGTGTATGTCAGTATGTAGTGTCTCTACTTTAAAGAGTCCTCTCCTGCTGACGTTCGGGTGTATGTCAGTATGTAGTGTCTCTACTTTAAAGAGTCCTCTCCTGCTGACGTTCGGGTGTATGTCAGTATGTAGTGTCTCTACTTTAAAAGAGTCCTCTCCTGCTGACGTTCGGGTGTATATGAGTATGTAGTGTCTCTACTTTAAAGAGTCCTCTCCTGCTGATGTTCGGGTATATATCAGTATGTAGTGTCTCTACTTTAAAGAGTCCTCTCCTGCTGACGTTCGGGTGTATGTCAGTATGTAGTGTCTCTACTTTAAAGAGTCCTCTCCTGCTGACGTTCGGGTGTATGTCAGTATGTAGTGTCTCTACTTTAAAGAGTCCTCTCCTGCTGACGTTCGGGTGTATGTCAGTATGTAGTGTCTCTACTTTAAAGAGTCCTCTCCTGCTGACGTTCGGGTGTATGTCAGTATGTAGTGTCTCTACTTTAAAGAGTCCTCTCCTGCTGACGTTCGGGTGTATGTCAGTATGTAGTGTCTCTACTTTAAAGAGTCCTCTCCTGCTGACGTTCGGGTGTATGTCAGTATGTAGTGTCTCTACTTTAAAGAGTCCTCTCCTGCTGACGTTCGGGTGTATGTCAGTATGTAGTGTCTCTACTTTAAAGAGTCCTCTCCTGCTGACGTTCGGGTGTATGTCAGTATGTAGTGTCTCTACTTTAAAGAGTCCTCTCCTGCTGACGTTCGGGTGTATGTCAGTATGTAGTGTCTCTACTTTAAAGAGTCCTCTCCTGCTGACGTTCGGGTGTATGTCAGTATGTAGTGTCTCTACTTTAAAGAGTCCTCTCCTGCTGACGTTCGGGTGTATGTCAGTATGTAGTGTCTCTACTTTAAAGAGTCCTCTCCTGCTGACGTTCGGGTGTATGTCAGTATGTAGTGTCTCTACTTTAAAGAGTCCTCTCCTGCTGACGTTCGGGTGTATGTCAGTATGTAGTGTCTCTACTTTAAAGAGTCCTCTCCTGCTGACGTTCGGGTGTATGTCAGTATGTAGTGTCTCTACTTTAAAGAGTCCTCTCCTGCTGACGTTCGGGTGTATATCAGTATGTAGTGTCTCTACTTTAAAGAGTCCTCTCCTGCTGACGTTCGGGTGTATGTCAGTATGTAGTGTCTCTACTTTAAAGAGTCCTCTCCTGCTGACGTTCGGGTGTATGTCAGTATGTAGTGTCTCTACTTTAAAGAGTCCTCTCCTGCTGACGTTCGGGTGTATGTCAGTATGTAGTGTCTCTACTTTAAAGAGTCCTCTCCTGCTGACGTTCGGGTGTATGTCAGTATGTAGTGTCTCTACTTTAAAGAGTCCTCTCCTGCTGACGTTCGGGTGTATGTCAGTATGTAGTGTCTCTACTTTAAAGAGTCCTCTCCTGCTGATGTTCGGGTGTATGTCAGTATGTAGTGTCTCTACTTTAAAGAGTCCTCTCCTGCTGATGTTCGGGTGTATGTCAGTATGTAGTGTCTCTACTTTAAAGAGTCCTCTCCTGCTGATGTTCGGGTGTATATCAGTATGTAGTGTCTCTACTTTAAAGAGTCCTCTCCTGCTGATGTTCGGGTGTATATCAGTATGTAGTGTCTCTACTTTAAAGAGTCCTCTCCTGCTGATGTTCGGGTGTATATCAGTATGTAGTGTCTCTACTTTAAAGAGTCCTCTCCTGCTGACGTTCGGGTGTATATCAGTATGTAGTGTCTCTACTTTAAAGAGTCATCTCCTGCTGACGTTCGGGTGTATGTCAGTATGTAATGACTCTACTTTAAAGAGTCATCTCCTGCTGACGTTCGGGTGTATGTCAGTATGTAGTGTCTCTACTTTAAAGAGTCCTCTCCTGCTGACGTTCGGGTGTATGTCAGTATGTAGTGTCTCTACTTTAAAGAGTCCTCTCCTGCTGACGTTCGGGTGTATGTCAGTATGTAGTGTCTCTACTTTAAAGAGTCCTCTCCTGCTGACGTTCGGGTGTATGTCAGTATGTAGTGTCTCTACTTTAAAGAGTCCTCTCCTGCTGACGTTCGGGTGTATGTCAGTATGTAGTGTCTCTACTTTAAAGAGTCCTCTCCTGCTGACGTTCGGGTGTATGTCAGTATGTAGTGTCTCTACTTTAAAGAGTCCTCTCCTGCTGACGTTCGGGTGTATGTCAGTATGTAGTGTCTCTACTTTAAAGAGTCCTCTCCTGCTGACGTTCGGGTGTATGTCAGTATGTAGTGTCTCTACTTTAAAGAGTCCTCTCCTGCTGACGTTCGGGTGTATGTCAGTATGTAGTGTCTCTACTTTAAAGAGTCCTCTCCTGCTGACGTTCGGGTGTATGTCAGTATGTAGTGTCTCTACTTTAAAGAGTCCTCTCCTGCTGACGTTCGGGTGTATGTCAGTATGTAGTGTCTCTACTTTAAAGAGTCCTCTCCTGCTGACGTTCGGGTGTATGTCAGTATGTAGTGTCTCTACTTTAAAGAGTCATCTCCTGCTGACGTTCGGGTGTATGTCAGTATGTAGTGACTCTACTTTAAAGAGTCATCTCCTGCTGACGTTCGGGTGTATGTCAGTATGTAGTG